AACAAGGTTGCTGGTTCGACTCCTGCATGGGATGGCGGGAGGAGCCTTCCGCAACTAGATTGAACATGACACCTTGAGCTGGGGTGCCAGTGGGCAGCCAGATGGCTCAGTTGGTTAGAGCACATGCTCTCAACAACAAGGTTGCTGGTTCGACTCCTGTATGGGATGGCGGGAGGAGCCTTCCCCAACTAGATTGAACATGACACCTTGAGCTGGGGTGCCAATGGGCAACCAGATGGCTCAGTTGGTTAGAGCACATGCTCTTAACAACAAGGTTGCTGGTTCGACTCCTGCATGGGATGGTGGGCTGCGCCCCCCTCAACTAGATTAAAAAATGGCAACTGGACTTGGAGCTGAGGTGCGCCCTCCACAACTAAGATTGAAGGACAACAACTTGATTTGGAGCTGATGGGTCCTAGGAAAAACACACTGTTCCCCTCCCCCCAAAAAAAAGTTAAAAAAAAAAAAGGGCTCCCCAGCAGGGCCCGTCATTATGTTTAAAAAGAGGAAAAAAGAACATAGAACTACCTTATGACTCAGCAATTCCGCTTCTGGATATTTATCTGAAGAAATCCAAAACACTAATTCGAAAAAAATATATGCATCCCTGTGTTCACTTATGCAGCATTATTTACAATAGCCAAGATATGGAAGCAACCCAATTTCCCATCAATAGGTGATTGGATAAAGAAGATGTGGTATATGTATACAATGGAATATTACTTGCCCATAAAAAAGAATGGACTCTTACCATTTGCCGCAACATGGATGAACCTAGAGGGTATTATGCTAAGTAAAATAATTAGACTGAGAAAGACAATTCCATATGATCTCACTTATATGTGGAATCTAAAGAATGAAATAAATGAAAAAACAAGACAGAAACAGACTCATAGATACAGGGAACAAATTGATGGTTGCCAGAGGGAAGGGGTTTTGGGGACCTGGGTAAAAAAGGTGAAGAGATTAAGAAATATAAGTTGGTGGTTACAAAATAGTCACAGGGATATAAAGTACAGCATCAAGAATGTAGTCAATAATGTTGCAACAACTATATATAGTGCTGGGTGGGTAGACTAATCAGGGGATTACTGCATAAATTATATAAATCTCTAACCACTATGCTGTATTCCCAAAAGTAATATAAAATAATATTGAATGTCAACTGTAACTGAAAAAATAAATAAATAAGATTAGGATTTTGCTATATGATAATCAACGAAAAATCACTACAATTATTAAAAAGAAGAGAGAGGAGTTTGTGGCCAATGGGATAGACAGATGGAGATTCAATACTGGTATTATAATGAACTGATTAAAAAATCAAGATCCAATAGATAATTGGGTAAAAGACATAAACAACTATATACATTTTGTGAGAACTTTGGTGTATACCATATTAAGAATCATATAAAATGATCATATCATTTGACCTAGTAACCCCTCACTTGGGGCTTTACAAAAAAATTTTACACAAGGATAATGCTATTGCTATGAAGTTGTTTGCTGCAACATTATTTATAATATCAAAAATTGGAAACAATTCACCTCCTGACATTGAAAGAAGGGTTATATAAGTCCTGTCATATCGGTTTGAATATAATATGCAATAAATAGTTATTGTCAATATTTGGTCGTGCCAAAAGGGCTTTTGATAAGTGGCAATAGCTAATTACAAAATTATCTCGGGCCGGCCGAGTGGCGCGATGGTTAAGAACTCGCTTGGGATGCCAGAGGGCCCCGGTTCGGATCCCACATATGAGGGCCAG